AAGTTCAATCAATCCATAGCCAAAACAGAATTGTGGAAAGATCAGGAAAATGCGCTTCAGGGTTTCAGAAATAAGTTCTAAAGTCTGAAATAACAGAAATAAAAATAAAACTCAATGTTAGATTTCCAACAAATTGACAAAAACTTAAAACCAAATATAGACAAATATTGAAACCTGATAAGTTTATCAAGATTAGCAATTATTTCACATGTATGCTGATTTTGCATACAAATATTTACTGTAATCAAATGGTGCAGGCTTATTATTGAAATAAAAGCAGATTATATTTTTCTTTTCTTTTTTTTCCCCTAGGTCTTTTCCATAGGGCATATGCACTGGAGAGGAGAGAGAGAGAGAGAGAGAGACAGTGAGAAGGAAAGTAAGACATCAGCCCCCAGGGTGGGTGGCCATGCCATAATCCCTTCTCCTCTTTTTTCCTCTCAGGATTTTGGGCATGTATGCACACAAACCCAATATAATTTTCCTTTTTTTTTTTTTTTGGAGAGGTTTTTGCTGTAGGGCGCGTGCACTCGCCAGGAAGACAGAGAGAGACAGAGAGACAACAAGTGAGAAATCACTCCCCAGGGGTAATGGCCACACCGCAATCCCTTCTCCAATCTCCTCTTGGGATATTGGGCACTCATGCACATGCGCCCAGCGTGAGTTTAAGCCACTGGGTCCGGGACTTGAACCATGGTGGACTACATGGGAGCCCAGCAACATAGATTACGCTAACTGCTGGTCCCAGCCCAATGTAGTTTTCAAGTCACTGGTTCTGGGTCTCAAACTGCCATCAGCCATATGGGAGTCCAGCACATTAACTACTACACCACCTGTGGGTCCCCATATTTTTCTAATGTAAGTGCCCTAAGGTGTTAGGTCAACTCCTGGAGGTAAATATCTCTTTTCTACCTGCATCAGACCCTAGGAATATTGGGCTAGCCAGGGTATTGGTAGGTGCCTGAGTGAGGAAGATAGTATACTTAGTACAGTAAAGTTTCAGAACTGAAGGCAATTTCTACTTGGAGAGTGACTGAAATGGTGAAATGAGATGAAAGGAGAGACAACATATCTCAAAGAGGAGCAAATGGCTCATTTTCACGTTATTCACACTTGGGGCCAACTACTTCCACCTCATGAATTTTCTTTCTCTTCCTGAAGTGTGCTTGTCTATTCCTCAGTTCACTTCATTTCCTCTCTATTCTTTTCTGTTCAATTGCCTGGCACTGTTAGTGCTTCTCTTCTCACTAATCATAATTGTCAGTTCTGAATGGAAAGTGATGCTTACAATGAAGTAGACTCCAATATATGATTGAAAGGGAATGAATTAGGTTATTTTCTCTATGAGTGCGCAAATGGATCCTAACCTATAGTCCTATAACTAAGCCATTGTCCTTGTCACCACCATACCATAAGAATTTGTTAATGAGTACAAGGGTTAGCTGGCCGACTGGCTATATGATTTATGTAGTGTCTTACAATATATCTGATTTCACCTCTATTGCCCCACTCAAGTCCTAGAAAATGTTAGTGGTTACAATACTTAGTAAATACAGCCATAGGCATTAACCTAAATGGGGCCAAAAAGGATTTTTAAAATGCTTTTAAAAGTTGTAGTTTCTCCTCTCCTAAATTTAATGGAACCAAATTTCTTTTTTATTTAAGCAATGTAGAATAAAGAAGATCTTTCCACCTTGAATATAGTGAAGCTTTTGATATATTTACTGAAGCTTAGCAGATTAATAAAGGACCTTACCGGATCATTAGGCTTTTCCTTGGACAGAAAGTATACCACTGACAGGGAAACAATGGAATTGATGCCAAAAAACAAGTTGACACAGACATAAGTGATGAAGGCCATTCCTGTTTCATGGAATAACCCAGCCAGCAAGTACATCCAAGAAAATGTTGCATACCTGTCAGTTAATAATATTATGAGTTAATATTATGTCTTATTCTATTTTATTAAAAAAAGAGAGAGAAAAACCTAGATGAGCTTCTAAAGTAAAAACAAACATTAGGGATGAGTTGCCAAGGCTTGTGACTAGATCTCTCTTTCATCCCTCTTTTTGACCAAAAAAAAAAAAAATCCAAAGGATATATTTTTTTGAAATGACAGAAGCATCTTTTTAAAGGAACCTTGATCATTTTCACCAACTTCAATTTAATCCTCCTTGGAGATGGTGTTATCCCTTCCAAGTAAATTTTTTTTTCTGCTTAGAAATATGAGTTTAATCAGTATAAATCTTATAATTTACAGTTGAGTAAAATTAATGACTCTGTTGTAGGCTAGCTAAGCAGACAGAACATGCTTAGAAGCTGGTTAGCCTGCTTTGAACAAAGACTTGAGCAACTTTTGGGGCAATTAAACAGAGCAAGAGAGACAGAGGTCCTGCATTAGCTACAGTTGGTATTTAAGGGATTCTACCCAAGCATTCAGGACAGAAATAACATTTATGCTAAGCATTGATTGTTGATGTACTTTATATTACCTGTATTAATCCAATACAGAAACACAATATTGTGTGTCCTTAAACATCAATAAAAAGAAGTACACATAAATGTATGTATATTTTATAATGCTACTGGCTCATCAGGAAAGTCATGAAATATTTTTGTACAGAAACAAAGAAAAATACATAATGACTTTCTTGAAGACCTAATATATATATTCATACAATTTGTCAATACATAAATTTGCATACATATACATATCTTTCTGGTCATTCTAAAGCCTCCACTTAAAAGTAAATTATATTACTTATGTAAATTGGCAAACATGATATGTGGCACCCAGAAAGTGCTCATTAATGTGAGGTATTACTATTAATAATAACAGCAATAATTTTCAGAAGTATTAGACTTTATAGACTATGGAGTAGCAAGTGTAATGTATTATTAGTCATCTTTCATATCAAATAAATCCCCAATACAACTGTAAATAAGCTCATGCAATTTAGGTCCTATTTGTGTCTAGGAAAATTTAATTCTGTTAGTTCTTTCATTTCTTAATAGGCAGTTTACCCAAACAGCAGAAGTAGGAGAGATACAGCGCCTAAGTTGTTTTCACTGTAGAAGGCAGGCAACTTGAAAATTGCAATGACACCAATTGAAAATGCTACAGGCACCAGGTAGAAGACCTACGGGAATATGTAAAACAATGTTTAATATACAGCAAGTATTTTTTTTTAAATCAATAACCCATTTGGTTTAAAACTACAGCAAGTTGACCTAGATATTTGAAAGAATGAATTTTTATTTATGTTCCTGGTGTTCGTAACACTCAGCTTACTTCACATTGATTTCACTTTAGAATTTTCTCCTCCAATATGAGGTCAAGTCAGGTTCCATCTTTATAGATATACAAGGAGTCCCTGATGTTTCTACCTCTAGGCTTTGAGACGCGAGATCATTCAGTGACAAAGGTTCAGTGACAAAGGTTCAGTGACAAAGATAAGACAGGCAGGTATTAGGTTCAGTCCTCAAAGTATTGATTTCATTTTGAATGCTGAAACTCTCTCAGATGGCTGATTTCTAAGGCTGGTTATCAGTGTGAGCCACTCTGTGCAAAACAGCAGGACAGTGGGTTCCACATCACTTTGGAATCACAGGTACATGAACGAAAGAGCCAGAGGCTTTTTTGGCAAGTGGAAATATCACATGCTGAGGATTTTGCAGTAATATGCCCACAAAGAAGGTGTTGGTAACTTAATTGAGGAGGGGAGGAAATCTCCTAAATTGGAATGAGCACCAGATTTAAAACAACAGAATCTAAGTAGTAAGCAAACCTTCACAGAAGTGTGTACTTGAAACTTTCTTTATTTCAAAACTCCTATTAAGTCAAGAGCAAGCATTACTACTTTTTAAGATCTGACTTATACACCAAACTCATTTTGGACCTCACTGGATACATTAACAAAATAGACATGCAGTTAATCATTCTCTATCCCTTCAAGCCAATGATCTTGACAGAGACTCAGACAATTTCACCATAACCAACAGACAAACACATACTATCCAGGGCCTTTGGCCAACCCTGGCACATTTCAGGTCAAGAACAACCATCCAAACTTTGGGACCATTTTATGTATGTGAGAGCTTACAGTGAAATTGTTCTGTTCTTTTCCCTACTTCCCTTCTCTGATGTGTCATTCAGCAG